TGAGGTCCTGATGGATTTTCAGAACCTATGCCTTATATAACAATCAATATGTGTAATATATTATATAAATCAACCCCTTAAACAAATATATAAATAATAATATACTAAAAGGGTGCAGCGCTGGTAAAAAGCACAAATATAATGTATATATGCTAAGTTCATATATAGATAATTAATCATCAATAAGGTGACATTGTGTAAATTCATATGCAACTAGAATCTGTGACTAATATTGCAAAAAGAAAAAAAAAATTTTGAGCATACCAAAAGGTGACAGTGAGGTTGAAATCACAGACGGACGCATAGATGTCCACAAATTAATGAGCCTTGTATATAAATAGATAAGTAAGGGGACATTGTGCAAGCATATATGCCACTATATTATGTGGCTAATATCGTGAAAGATCTATAACCAATCTAAATGAGTCCAAAAAATGTGAACAAGATCGCTGATGATCTTCAGGCGACCAATAACCGGAAACGGGAGAAAGGTGAGAAAATAAGGTAAAGACTGCGCACTCACCAGATACGCAATCTTTATGCGCATTTGTATATCATAAAAACACATCAGACGCCCTCACATAGGTCTGGTCAGATCTGGTCATGTAGCCTCCACTGCTTCATAATCCATACTCCAATAGCATACGCTCTGCAATCATGATGAGCTCCCACAGGGGCTCAAAAAACAGAGGAAGCCAATAGTGTAGTATGTCAAGGATATTTATTCCAAAGTTCAGGCAGATGGGTATAAAAGAGTAATACTGACCAAAACAGGATGGCCACCGGGACTCCTTTTTTTTTTTTTGCAATATTAGTCACAGATTCTAGTTGCATATGAATTTGCACAATATCACCTTATTGATGATTACCGTATTTGCCGGCGTATAAGACGACTTTTCAACCCGTGAAAATCTTTTGAAAAGTCGGGGGTCGTCTTATACGCCGGTATACGGCGAGCCAGTGTGAGGGCGGCACTTTTTCGAGGGGCGGCGCCACCCCCCCTCCTCCTCCAATGGACACCAAGTACAGGGGTGGGCAGAGGGGCTGCTGTACCTCACCTGGCTCCGGTCCCGGTCCCACGACGATCCGGTCCAGGAAGCGCGGCTGCTCCTTCTTTCAGTTCGGCCGCTCGATGGTCCCTCCGCCCGCTCGGCTCCGCCTCCTCACCGGTGATTGGGCGCCAGCACTGGAAAGGCACACAGGCGTCCAATCACCGGCGAGGAGGCAGAGCCGAACGGCCCGCGAAAATCAAGCAGCCGAACTGAAAGAAGGAGCAGCCGCTCCTCTCCCCCACTGACACCAACGATGAGGCACTGTTCCTCCTCCACACTGACACCAACGATGAGGCACTGTTCCTCCTCCACACTGACACCAACGATGAGGCACTGTTCCTCCTCCACACTGACACCAACGATGGGGCACTATTTCTCCCCCACTGACACGTAACGATGGGGCACAATTGCTCCCCCACTGACACCAATGATGGGGCACTATTCCTCCTCCCCACTGACACCAACGATGGGGCACTATTCCTCCCCCACTGACACCAATGATGGGGCACTATTCTCCCCACTGACACCAATGATGGGGCACTATTCCTCCCCCACTGACCCCAACCATGGGGCACTATTCCTCCTCCCCACTGACACCAACGATGGGGCACTATTCCTCCTCCCCACTGACACCAATGATGGGGCACTATTCCTTCCACTGATACCAATGATGGGGCGCTATTCCTCCCACTGACACCAATGATGGGGCGCAATTCCTGCCACTGATACCAATGATGGGGCGCTATTCCTCCCAGTGACACCAATGATGGAGCACTATTCCTCCCACTGACACCAATGATGGGGCACTATTCCTCCCACTGACACCAATGATGGGGCACTATTCCTCCCACTGATACCAATGATGGGGCACTATCCCCCCACTGACACCAATGATGGGGCACGATTCCTCCCACTGACACCATTGATGGGGCACTATTCCTCCCACTGACTAATGATGGGGCACTATTCCTCCCACTGACACTAATGATGGGACACTATTCCTCACACACACTGACACTAATGATGGGGCACCATCATTGGTGTCAGTGGGAGGAATAGTGTCCCATCATTGTATCAGTGGGAGGAATAGCTCCCCATCATTGGTATCAGTGGGAGGAATAGTGCCCCATCATTGGTGTCAGTGGATGAAATAGTGCCCCATCATTGGTGTCAGTGGGAGGAGTAGTGCCTCATCATTGGTATAAGTGGGAGGAATCATGCCCCATCATTGTGTCAGTGGGAGGAATAGCACCCCATCATTGGTGTCAGTGGGAGGAATAGCACCCCATCATTGGAATACCATACTGAAATAGCATACCATATTGAAATCAAATCTGATGTTTTTTCATTTTTATTTGGTGTGTGTTGGAAGAGGGGTAGTCTTATACGGCGAGTATAGCTCAAACCCTATATTTTAACAGGAAAAGTAGGGGGTCGTCTTATACGCCTAGTCGTCTTATACGCCGGCAAATACGGTAATTATCTATACAGGCAGTCCCCGAGTTAAGTACATTCGGCTTACGTAATACTCATACTTACGTACACTTCCCTCGGGACCGGAAGTCAAGCTGTCAGCATTCTTGTGCAGCAAGCTGATAAGAGACTAGCTGATAAGAGACATCAGAGAGACATAAGAGACAGAGACATCCATTGCTCGTTACTTGTGGGGCTAGCAGTGTCTGCCCACTATCTCCAAAGTGATTTAAGACTGTCTGTCTGCACCTCCGGGGAGAGGAAAGGAGAGGCTGTCAGGCTGCTCACTGAAGTGATCCTCCGTCTGTGCAGGGGGGAGGGGGCAGCGTGTGCTGTGTAAAGGAGAGCAGATCTCTCATACAGTACATTACAGTACAGTGTATTTTTACATTTGGATGTCGGAGACACTGTTGCTGCCCAATCCTCTCCAACATGCCATCCTCTGCCAAGATAGTTTAAAGTTGTACTCTACACTGTACAAGAGTTTACAGTATAATATTTGAATGTTGAATTTGATGTTTAAACATTTACATGCACATAAAAGTTAAATATGTTAAGGCAAACATGTGTCCAAGCTGCAGTTCTTATGCAAAACACCAGTTTAGAGCCTCTTGAGGTTTTACTGCTTTCTGTAACCTTATTACAAAAACGTAATCTAATATCCTGTCGTTTGGTTAGTAGTTAGTGCTTATAAAAGTGCCTGATTCAACTTATGAACAAATTCGACTTATGAACAAACCTACAGTCCCTATCTTGTACGTAACCCGGGGACTGCCTGTATATGAACTTAGCATATATACATTATATTTGTGATTTTTACCAGCGATGCACCCTTTTAGTATATTACTGTTTACCTGAAGGTCTTATATGGTGCCTTTGGTGCATGGTCGCTATTCCCTGTGTGTTGATTGAGCGCTCACTTATTTTCAACTTCCTAAATATATAAATAAACCACACTTAAAGTGACCAGTGCAAAAATGTGACCAAACTGATTCAGATACAAAATATCAAAATATATATATATATATATATATATATATATATATATATCAAAATGATAAAGTTCATAAATCCTCTAAATAGTGCTCAAAAACAACAAAAATTCATGCAGAGTGATGAAAGTGATGGTTTCTGTGTTGGTGTCAGCACACTTATCCTCCGTGGCTAAAATGCCCCCTCACCTCAACTCTGTGACCCAAATGGGCCACTAAGACTCCAGGATCAATCCTAGATCCTTCGCCAGCAGTATCTGATATCCTCTTTACTCCTCCTGTGGTTTCCCTCTCAGGTAAGTGATCTGTACTCCAGACCTCCCAGGATAGATACACCAGCTCTGTATATCACTCACCATAAACCATTGTAAGCGAAAGAAAGATCCTTCATAGTGCAGTATTTAGTGGATAAATCAGACTCTTTAATATAAAAAATGGCCACTCACTTGTTGTACATCAATTTCAATAAAGATGTCAGCTGTGCCCACAGATATACAGTACATAAAGTAAGTCTTACACTGTTAAAATATATTTTGCTATATTTTATAGTAATAATGTAAATAAAATGTACTGAAATGTGCCACTATACTTAGAAATTTCAGTGGCCATTTGTTTTTTTCTCAGTTGGATATTACCCTAATAAACTCCAGCGCTACTTAATAAATTCTCTCTTAAAATAACTTCAACCTACTTTTCAAATATAAGTGCCTTGTAGTTAAGCAACAGTCAAGTTGCTTATCTGTCATGTGAAAAGTAAGGAATGACTGGCATTAATGCAAAGCATACAATTACAACAGCTCAGTCCATCATTTTTTTTCCCTTTGCATTTTAATGGCATTCCTGCAAAGCTGAAATGTGTCACATACTCATACAATATAATGACAGAGGTGGGAAAAGAAAGATTATGTAAGTACAAGAAGTGAGAAACAGTTTAAATGTTCATTTGTTCTATAGAATTGCTGTCCTGTCAACATGACTGGCACTTTGAAGGTTGACAGCGTAATATCAAATTATAATAGTCAGCACAATTCCCCAAATTACATTTAGGACTTTTTGTTAACAGAGACATTTACAAGAGTTTAATTTGTTGCTCATAAATAACATTGTTTAAAATTTATATTTAATCTATAAATTTTACAATGCACCACCTAATTGCTTTAAAGGGGAATTCTATTTTCAAGGGAAAGGAATGAATGCTAAATAATCAATGTTTCTGTATTTAAGTTTTATTGCTTTTTTTTAAAGGACTATATTGCATTTTTTTTAAAGCACTGCATTTTTTTCTATTTTCCTTATATTACATGTTTGTTCACAAAAAAACGGGGGTAAACATATGCATCCAGGAAGATACCCAAGGCCAGATAAATTTCAGATATAGAATACACTTTAAATTTCAGGCACTGGACGTTAGTGTTGTTTGCACATTCTGTTAAAACATAATTTTAATTAAAAAAAAAAGAAGCTAGAAATAAAAAGTCCATTAAAAGATAAAATAATAAAAAACAGCTTTTGTTGCAATTGTCACCTTTAATCCAGATATACTGTATCCTCCACAGACCTATCTTTCTGGCACTAGATGGCCTTAGTCTGATAGCCAGCATCATTCAACCCTCTTCCTCTGAGACCAGGTTTAGATTGTGACTGGACAGTGAAAAGAGAAATAGCTAAATGATGGACTCCATGCTTCTTGCAAGCACCTGAGCTGTTTGGCATCTTGTGCTGCTTCTGCCTCTTTTACTCCAGTCTTGCTGTACAGGGGCTGCAAGAGACTGTCAAATATAGGTACTTGCACTGATTGCATATAAAAACACATTTTCGATGTATTAATGATTACAGAACTGCTTTAATTTGCATATTTTCTATTTGACCAGAGTTCAGCTTTAAACGTATGCAACTCTGTTGGTCACTGACCAGAAGCAATCATTTTCTGGGAGACCTAATATGCATGTGTTGCCTGGTCAGTGGTTTAATGACAAAAAGGATGAGGATGATAGTCCTAGTGTATGCATCTTCAAATGTTTTGGAGTAAGAAATGGCAGTTGAGATATTCCTCTCCTCACAGGTTTCCCAAAAAGTTTTCCTGTAATATTCAGTGCATTCTCAGTCTAAGGAAGACAACCAATAAAATGTACAAAAACACTAGCACTGGAGAATGAAATGTGCATTTTCAAGATGTATGCTTGTAGCAGTAAGTGCAGTGTTAGATCATAAATGGTAATATGTTTTAACCTAATTATTTTGCTGTTTTCATATCTGTACTATTTAAAGACTGACAGGCATTACACACTTTGAAAGTAAAAATGTGGAATCAAGTGCATTTGTATAGAAATGATCTTGCTTAACTGAAAATATCTGCATGAAGGAGGTAGTGTGAATGATATATCCATCAACTTGGTAACCTCTACATGAGCATGTTGCTGGTAATAATCTTTGAATCTAGAGAAATGTTGTTTTTCTGTCACCGATCTTGACTTCTTACTTGCTGTGTTGCTAGATCTTTCTCATGCTTCTCATGCATATTAGCTTCAATGGTAGCAGTCTTAAAGTTGATTCAATGGCAGTAGTCTTAAAGGGTGTCCAGAAACACCTCATAAAAAAGTAGCTCTAGAAAAACAGTATTAAAACAGCTCAGCATTTTCCTTTTCGATTCAGTAATGCAATCCACTGTAATAGACTATAGAATGTTCATGCAGCAACAGCCTTTCCCTGTCATTTCTGTACATTTGGCATTATCCATACAACCCTACTCCTCATTGTTTCTCAGCACTCCTCTTGCAGGATCACCTACAGAAGAGAGGTGATTAAAAGCCCAGAGAGATTCAGGATTCTACATGTAACAGCTAGAGGTATATGGAAAAATGCATGTATTCTTATTTAGATCAGCCCTCAGCAGCGCATATGGACTTGCAAGTACCTCTCCTTGCCTGAGAAAAACATGGGAAGAAAATAGCACAGACCTGGATGATGTCATAGCCAGTGGAAATGTCTAATTGCACTGCTGATTGACATTACCAAATAGATATAGGTTGTAGGCATGCCACAGGTTGCCAAGAAGTGCTCTTTTTGTCTTTGGTTGCTTAGTTATAGAGATGTTGTGTTAGAGGGTATAGTTTTCACATGGTATTCTACTGCTACAGTATAGTTTAGTTATTTATTGCTCCTCATGTAGCATAGTCTTCTCCTAGATTGTAAGCTCGAAAGAGCAGGGCCCTCAATCCCCTCATGTTTTGCATTGTATTGGTATTGTTCTGTCACATGTTCTGTCCCCCTTTGGAATGTACAGCGCTGAGCAAACTATTGGCGCTTTATAAATACTGTATAATAATTTCGGCCCTGTCCTGTGCACATATCTGCTATCATATGCCTCTCTCTCCCAAATTGATATTTATCCTCCACTCACTATTAAATAACTCTAATATTCACATCATACTTATGTTTCTAAGTGGGAGATGGATCTTTGGTGCGCTAAAACTAAGGTAGACTTGATACAAATTTGGTCTACAATGGCCTCTTGTTCTACAACTGTTGCAAGACAGTTCATAGTCCCATCTGAATTGTCACATCTCCACCCTCCTCATTGATTTTGTGGTTGCAATTCATATATATTTGGTGGACCTGTCTGATGCTCACAAGGTGTTAGACCAAAGTTGGCCACCATGTTGATAGCTTCTTTATCAACAAAAAAGCTTCCTTATCAACCAGTATTTTAGAAACACATTAGACATTCCTTGCAATATGGTCTTCTTAAATAAGGATTCATCATACTGTATGGATACAACATGCCCACATCTCAATGCCCATTGTACATTACCCATCCTTGTAGGTGCCAAATGTAGGGTCTTAGGCTAGGAGTCTCTGCTGTCCTCCTTCTTCCAGCCCTTCTCTTTTTATTCTCTCTTTTTCTTAACTTATTTTTATACCCTTTTTACCTCCCTTGTGTGGAAGTCTTCTTACCCTTTTTATGTAATATTTTTCTTAGAAGAGGACTAACCAGATACAGTTGAACCTTTTGGCCTTATTCACTTACTGAAACAGCTTTAGAACACCATTGTAGCATGATTTTTTTCGGTGACTATATTTCTAACAAGTTTAAAACTTGAAATTAGTTTAACCAGTTGCCACCCGGCCTATAGCCAGATGGCACCGGACGAACAGCTCATCCCTCCGGGTGGACGCCATATGGCGTCCTTTCAGCATGCTCAGTGTGCCTGCCCACAAGGCCGTGCTACGGCGCGATCTGTCACCGGCCGTGTACCTCAGACACGGCCGATGGCAGATCTGTGTACTGGCCCCATTGCCAGTACCATGTGACCTGCTGTGACCAATCACAGCAGGTCACATGACAGTTGTATACAATGGATGGCTTCCTTTCATGCCATCAATTGTATACAAGTGTGTCTAGCTCTGAATGGTCACAGCGATCACATGCACAAGCTGGGCCAATCACAGCCCAGCTGTGTCATGTGATTAGCCGTGGCCAAATCACAGCTAAACACAAAAAAAAAAAAATTTTATGTCATTCAGGTAAATGCTTGCTTATAGCAAAGCAAATTCTTTGCTATAAGCAAATTGCGTTAAAAAAAAAATACTGATCACTTTCCCAAAGTAGTACAATGTTACTATGGTAACATTATGCTACTTTGGTCATAGTGAAATATGAAAAAAAATCTTAAAAAAAGAAAAAATGTAATAAAAAATTAACACTGAAAAAAAATTAATAACATTTTAAAAAATTATAATTTTTTTTTTTTGTACTGTCACCAGTCGGTGTCCATGATCACCGCCATGCCAGTTATATGATGATGCTGTACTGCACTGGTGACAGTATGTAAAAAAAAATTGTGAAAAAAAAGTGAAAATTTTTTTTGTTAATTTTTTTAATTTTCCAAAAAATTATGACAAAAAAATTACAACTTCAAAAAACTCGCCATGCCTCTTATGAAGTACGTCGGACTGTCTACTTTGCAAAAAGGGGTCATTTGGGGGATATCTGTACTGTTCTGACATTCTTGGACCTCAAGAAATTAGATTGGCTGTCAGTACTTCAGGATTGGTCAATATTCAAATCCATACCATAGTTTGTGAACTCTATAACTTTCCTACAAACTAAAAAATACATCCTAATTTGGGTTATTTTCACCAAAGACATGTAGCAGAATACATCTTGGCCTAAATTTATGAAGAACAATTATTTATTTGCAAACTTTTATAACAGAAACAAAGAAAAACATGTTTTTTTTTAATAAAAACTTGGTCTTTTTTTTTGTTAATTTAGCAAAAAAATAAAAACCCCAGTGTTAGCTATGTCTATGGGGTTAGAGACTAGGGTTTTGGTTTTAGGGTCATGAATCGTTTGTATTTTGTTTTTGAGTCATTGTTGTTTAACCATTTTTGCTAAAAGGGAGCTTGCTTTGTTGTTTAGGGAGTCATATCTGGCTTTAAGTTTTTTTAAGTTTTGGTCATATTGATATTGCAAAAGAGATCTGAGTTTTTCCCTTTCTTTTAGTAGGGCGGAAGATTTATCTGCTGATGGGTTGCTTTTATTTAACTCTTCTTTATTTTTGATGGATGTTATAAGTTGTTCGATTTGGTGTCTTCTATGGGTGAGAAGTTGAGAGTTTACGTTTATGAGAATTCCTCTCATAAACGTTTATAAGTGAGCCATAATGTGTTAATGGAGAATTCATGGGTGTCATTGGTTGCGAAGAAAAGGTTGTGTGCTTCCCTAATGGTTTTTACATGTATTGGGTCAGTTAGTAGCATGGAGTTTAGTCTCCATAATTTTGGGTTGGGTAGCCTGTTTAGTGCCGTTAATGTTATTGAAATGAGAGCGTGATCTGACCATGTTATTGAACCTATGGAAGAAGATGTAATGTGTTGTAATGTCCATTTGTCTGATAGAAAATAATCTTTTCTGAAATAGGATAATTGAGAGGGTGAGTAATATGAGTAGTCCCTTTCAGATCCATGGTGACATCTCCAGATATCGCATAAGTCATTATTATGCAGAAATTGGTTTGCGTTGTGGTGTGGAGGTCTTTTGTTCGATGATGCATCCATTTGGGGGTTCCCCACTATATTAAAGGCACCGCTTATGATTAGATGGCCTTTCTTCATTAGCGTAAGTTTGTTCATAAGTTGGTTGAGAAATCATATTTGCTTGGTGTTGGGGCCGTAGATGTTCACAAGTGTGAATGGATCATTCTTGATCAGGCATATAAGGATTAGAAAGCCATGTATCTTGTTGAGAAGTATTTCAATTTGAAGAGAGGTATTTTATTTGCGTCAAAATGGGTTTCTTGGATAAAGATGTCTGTGCGAAGTGCTTGTAGTTCTCTGTTTAATAAGGATCTCTTGAAGGGACAGTTGAGTCCTCTAACGTTCAGTGATGTAATTTAAATTGGTGATTAGGTTAGCTTTGTGGTGGATATGGCATGTATCAAGCTTTTGTTGATGGTTTTCGGTAGGTTGATTACTGTAGTAGTCGTAGGAGGTGAGATAATGAATGGGGAATATATGAAGATTCCAGAAATTATATGATTGGTGATGGAGTAAGGA